AGTCAGCCATGAGCAGCCACAGCCCAGTGCATGCAGTCAGCTCAGCCACAGCCCAGTGCATGCAGTCAGCTCAGACACAGCCCAGTGCATGCAGTCAGCATGTACAGCCACAGCCCAGTGCATGCAGTCAGCATGTGCAGCCACAGCCCAGTGCATGCAGTCAGCATGTGCAGCCACAGCCCAGTGCATGCAGTCAGCATGTGCAGCCACAGCCCAGTGCATGCAGTCAGCATGTGCAGCCACGGCCCAGTGCATGCAGTCAGCATGTGCAGCCACGGCCCAGTGCATGCAGTCAGCATGTGCAGCCACGGCCCAGTGCATGCAGTCAGCATGTGCAGCATGGCCCAGTGCATGCAGTCAGCCATGAGCAGCCACAGCCCAGTGCATGCAGTCAGCATGTGCAGCACGGCCCAGTGCATGCAGTCAGCTCCGCCACGTGGGAACAAGCTTTGTGATTTGTTTTCTACGTGTTTGACCCCCTGCCCTGTAGCAGGGTCCCCTAAGCACAGCAGCTGGACTGTCCCCTCTCTCTGCTCCCTGGGGCACTCTAACTGCTGTAGGGGTGTCCCGAGACCCAGCGGTGAGGCTCCCCCTCCTCTGGGCCCCAGCGTTGACGTCTGTGTTCTCCTCTTCCTCCCAGGTTGTGGGGGCTGCGGCACAGAAATCCAAAGCGGCCAGTCCCTGGTGGCTCTGGACAAGCACTGGCACCTGGGCTGCTTTAGGTGCAAGGCCTGCGGGAAGGAGCTGAGCGCCGAGTACATCAGCAAGTGAGCAGTGGGGCGTCGGAACGGAGCCCCGGGGTCGGCCTCCGCCTGTCCCCTGCCTTCCACCGCGCTCATCCCTCCTGTCTCCACGGTTAGACAGGAACCCTGGCTGGGACTGGCGTGTCTGTCCCCACACGCTCAGCCTGGCTTCCCTAGCAGGGTCTGCAGACTCCACCACCATTCGTTTTGCTGATGGAGCAGATGCCGTGCTCCCATCTTTGACTGTCACACGCCTCCCCGCACCCATCCCTGGGTCGCCCTCCCCGGGAATTCGCCCCTTGCTGGCACTGGCTCTCCTGCACAATGCAAAGTGCTGTCAGCCGCCGCCAGCCCCGCGTGAGGGGCCAGGGCTGAGCAGTCTCGGTTGTCACAACGTGACAGTGCTGAGACCTCTCCAGCACCGGCCGCACAGGGCAGCTCCGCCGCGGGCCACACAGCGCTCCCCGCCTGCGCTCAGGAGGCCGATGGCTGGTTTTCGGGGAGGGAGCTGCTGGGAGACCTTGGCCCTGCACGGGCACCTGGTTTGCCGAGGGCGTGCATTTAATCCAGAGCTCGGGACAGAGACAGGCGAGTCCCCGGCACAGGAGGGAGTGAGGGTGCAGCGCGCGGTCTCGGGCTCAGAGCGCGCAGCCAGGGGCTCTCTGCACAGCTCTCCTGGAGCCTCCGCTACTTCTGATGCCCCGAGGGATAGGCAGTGATGGCGAACCTATGACACGCGTGTCAGAGGTGACACACGGACTCATTTTTTTGGTTGATTTTTCTTTATTAAATGGCATTTAAATATATAAAATAAATATCAAAAATATAAATCTTTGTTTTACTATGGTTGCAAATATCAAAAAATTTCTATATGTGATATGGCACCAGAGTTAAGTTAGGGTTTTTCAAAATCCTGACACGCCGAGCTCAAAAGGTTCGCCATCACTGGGATAGAGCATCACAGGAACTGATCGTGTTAAAAGAAGTCCTGTGATAAAACGGCATGGGATGCAACACACACATGCATGCTGGCACGTGCACACACATGCACATGCTGGCGCACACACATATACTGGCACATGCACACACATGCACATGCTGGCGCACACACATATACTGGCACATGCACACACATGCACGTGCTGGCACACACATATACTGACACATGAACACACATGCACAACATGACATACATATATACTGGCGCATGCACACTCATGCACATGCTGGTACATACATACACCTGGCATATGCACACACATGCACATATGCTGGCACATGCATACATGCACACGCTGGCACATGCACACACATGCTGGCACACATGC